CCTCCATAAAATGTGCTGCACACATCTGAATATTTGGGTTAAACTGTTCTGGAACAGTGTTGTAAATACAACTTAACCACTGATTTGTAGTCACGTCCTCTTTTGGAAGACCAAACAAAGTAGTTTCGCTTTCACAACGAAATTGAAATTGAATTTTTATTGAAGTGTTTTTCACACTAAGAAAAAAATGGTTCTTTTAAGGTTAAGATGTTATTGTTAGTTCATTAATCCACACATATAAAGGATTCTTCAGACATAAACGGGGATGGGGTTGCAGTAATAGATCCATCATGATTCATAACACGGCCGATTTGAATGAATTGAATCACTCTGTCTCTCCTCCTCCACTTTGCTGTCCTCTCTTCGTACACCATCTCTCTTTCTTCAATTCCTTCTGTACTTCATCTTCTTTCTCTTTGTCATTGTTTCTTTGCATCGGATTTTCACAGATGATCTCTTTCGTTCTTTCTTTGCGTGAACATTTGGGCGGCGTTATGCAAAGCTTCCCACATAGTGACGTAGGTATGTGGGGGCGTGTTAGAATGAGCCGTTTTAGGTAGGCGTGGTTGACTCTTAACTTTTATAAAGAATATCTCTTTGGATTTGAGACTTTAGTCTTTGCAACTTTACAGATCTTCTTTATGCACCAAGAGCTTGTAACACTTCAAAGAGAAAGGATAAATTGAAATCGCATCATATGACCCCTTTAAAAGAATATAGTATGGCTTTTATTTTGAAGTTTTTGTGTGTCTTGTTCTTGTCATGTCTCTTTTCACTAATCCTGCCCTGATTTGCAGGTGTTTTGTTTTGCCAGTAAGTGCATATAGCCCTCATGTTTGTATATGTTGAAACTGATTATTTTGTCTTGGACAGTGGTTCGTTTCATGTTATGTTTTTAGGTCATATAATGTCTATTTTAGTTTCTTCTTAGTATCTGTTTAATTTATTAATTTTCAAATAAACTGCAATTTGCCTCAGTACTGCATCATGCCTAATTGTGTTTGACACCACAATGTCCATAGCTAGCAGTTCAAAACGTTTTTATGAACATTTTATGAAAATGTGAACATTTGTGTGGTTTGAGTGACTACTACAATCTTTTTTCAGAAATTGCTAGTAGATTTCACAAATAATTACAAGGAAATGGCAAGTAACAGATTTAATTAAATGTGACATTTTTAAGAAAAAAAACATTAGTTTTTTCTTGTAAACTTTCACTATAAGGTCATCATAATGAGTGCAGCGAGATATCACTTATTTGATGATTATTTGCAAAAGCAATAAAAAAAATTTTTTTTAATTCCACATTAAAAATTGCGATAGACACAAAAGGACAAACTCTCTAAACTGGATTACACTGGACTGTACACTGAAGGAGGTTTCTAAAACTATATTTAATCACTAAAGCTTCCTGGTTTAGGAGATGATACAGATGAGAGCAGTGCTCTTATAGTATGGTTTAAATTGACTTGTGGGCAAACACATTGGATGACCTGAGTTTGAGTCCTGGCTTGAGGTTCTTTCCTAACCTTGGTCTTAAAGCTGATTTTTTTGTAAGTCAGTTACATAAAAAGGTAGATTGGTCTAATTTCGGTCCAAAAAGACATCTTGGCTAACTGCTAGCTGGTTAGACTAGTTCTTAAGATGTACTGTAGTAGCTGTGTTTGTTCAACTGGTTCAAAAAGAGAGAGAATTATACTGTACTGTACAAAAATTGTTATTTGGTTTTTGTGTAGGAAAGAACACAAACCTGTTATCTGTTGTTTTTTTATTTCATGACTGGAATTAATAAAGCTACACTTATGTTTCTCAATTCTCCAACAAACATTTTGACTGTCTAACACCCTTTCTTTAGTCAATCATTCAATGTGGTGACACTGTAAAAGGCTCAAGAGCAGGTCTGAAAAACACTACATTCCATAATTGCATTGCAAACAAACAATTCAAATGAAAAACAAACATACATCATGTAATTTGAGATCAGAAAAATCCAGTTTGACTTGATACTCAGAAACATTTGTTTGATGTGGGTTCACATGATACAGTAAATCTGAGTAATTTATGCATCCTTCTTGCGTTAATTCATTGGCTAATTAAGTATTACATAAGCAAAGTATTGTAATTTAAAAACATCTCACAATGGGTTTACACCTTTAGCTGGGTTTTTATTTACATCTGGAATAATACTGCCAATGAGCATTATATCGTTGTAATGTTGCACTTGATCATTATTCAGCATGTAACTTGTGCTCTCGCAGTAATCTAAGCTCTACTTAAGCAACAGTGTAGTGAGCATTAATCATTTGAACTAAATGACTCTTAATCATGACTGACCATTGAAAATATGCTAATTAGTAAAGACGAGAAAATACATTTTTAGATTTAGGTGGGAATGCTGAAGCTACTGTCACCCCATTCGTTTCTGGAATCATTAGGCAAACTGCCCTTAACTGTGTTTTTAGTTATGTTTGTAATAAAAATATTAAACAAATAATGCCAAATGAAATAAAAATGTAGCCTAAAATATATTAGTAAATGGTTACTTTATTACAGGAAAATTAGCTTGTGGCTATTTATGGTTTTCGCTCGGTTTACCAGAAGCATGCAACTTGTTTCCTCCGGCTATGAGCCAGGTGACGTCCGCTGTAGGCTACGTGACTCACGCTTTTGTTGGAAAAAATACTATTGTAATTAGATCATGCAGTCAAAAGAATTTTCCTTTGCTGAAGAATGCCAAATGAAATAAAAATGTAGCCTAAAATATATTAGTAAATGGTTACTTTATTACAGGAAAATTAGCTTGTGGCTATTTATGGTTTTCGCTCGGTTTACCAGAAGCATGCAACTTGTTTCCTCCGGCTATGAGCCAGGTGATGTCCGCTGTAGGCTACGTGACTCACGCTTTTGTTGGAAAAAATACTATTGTAATTAGATCATGCAGACAAAAGAATTTTCCTTTGCTGAAGAATGAGGAACGACTTATTTTTCCTGTAACAGTTCAATGATCTTTTATGGTTGACATATAGGTCACTGAAATTTTACTTTAAGCTAATTCATCTCTGCAGTTTCACTGAAAGTATAGGTTATAATATAAAAAGAACACAATTACAGGTTTTCAGGCAATTGCAACACATTCTCCTAACTTTTTTTACATTTTGACGATTTGGCGATTATTTGGTGTTGTTAGATTTAGGGCTAGGGATGAACCTTCATGCTTTTTCGTCCTAAAAATGTTTGTTTCCATATGAACCAAATTCAACCAAAAATTCCACCTGACAGTTACGTTTTATCTTGAGATCAGGTTAGGAATTCAAGGAATATCATGCAACACAGTTTTACCAACGAATAGAGCTGCTGATGCTGCATGTTTTAAAATCTGACAGAAACACTAAAAGCACCTCGAGCATCCTTAGTCAATCTACACTAAAGGTTAAAAAATTATAAACAAACACCTTATTTTAACACATTTTTAACAAATTTCAGAGTTTGCACAGGTGAGAATTATGCATGATTTAGAGTCACCAGCCTGTCACTTATCTCACTAAGACATGCAGGTTGCTCAATAAGTAAGACGAATGAACACTGAAAGAGCTTACAGACTGAGAGAGACGGAGGCGTGCTTTGTTTAAAATGTGTTGAGAGAGTGTGTGGGTGTGTAGGAAACGGGTTAACCGGGATATTTAAGAGCAGGTGCAGGTATCTGAGCTGTGCTGTCTGAGATGATGATGAGGAAGATGATCCATATACTCAGTGTAGCATTTTCCGTTGCTCTTCTAATGAGAGGTAAGCTCTTTTATTGGATAATTAATACTTAAGTTTATAAAATCATTTTTATAAACTATAATACTACATACTGTACCAGTCAAAAGTTTGGAGTCATTGAAATAACAGTAAAAACAGCAATATTTTGCGAAATATTACTACAATTTAAAAGAACTGTTTTGAATTTCTATGTATTTTAAAATGTAATATATTTTAAACTGAAATTTCAGCATCATTACTCCAGTCTTCAGTGTCACATGGTCCTTCAGAAATCATTCTAATATGCTGATTTGAGTCTCAGTTATTATTGATAGTCAATTATTAATAATGGCTCTTATTATTATCATTGATGAAAACAGTTTTTGAGGGAAACGTGATACAGGGATTTCAGGATTCGTCAGTGTATAGAAAGTATAAAGGAACAGCATTTTTGTTTTGGAATGGCACAATTGTTCTGAACATTAATAATAATAAAAAGAAATGTTCATTGAGCAGTAAATCAGCATATTAGAATGATTTCTGAAGGATCATGTGACACTGAAGACTGGAGGAATGATGCTGAAAATTCAGATTCACATCACAGGAATAAATACATTTTTAAATCATATTAAAATAGAAAACTATTCTTTTAAATTGTAATAATATTTCACAATAATACTGTGTTTTAATCAAATAAATGTAGCCTTGCTGAGCCCGAGTATGTGAAATGTAGCCTTAAAAAATCATAATTGTTTCAAACTTTAGCCTGTATTGTATAGCTAATTTCATTTTTACTAACATAACTATTGCATTCTTTTATGGAAAAAACATTTTATATTGCATACACGGTTTTTTGTTTGTTTCCCCCCTGAAGTTTTAGTTAACTGAACTTGTTTCTTGTTTTGTAGGATGTGACGCACAACTGGATGGTATAGCTTTTCACCACATATTTTAAATAGCCAAATCCTATTAAAAAATGTTGCTATGAGCAGTGGTTTGTCTAAACATGTTTGCTTTGCTATTGTCATTGTCAGTGTGTGGCAGACCACCTCTCAACACAAGGATAGTTGGAGGACAGGATGCACTGGCTGGTGCTTGGCCATGGCAGGCCAGCCTTCACACGAGCAGTGGCCATTTCTGTGGTGGATCACTCATCAGCAATGAATGGGTTCTGACTGCAGCTCACTGCTTTGCCAAGTAACTATCACAGACCAGCCCTTGCAATTATTTGAAAAAAACAAAACCTTGTCATTCAATATATGTGGCGAATTCTTAACACTTGTTCTCCTACTAGAATTACTTCATCCGCTGCCCTAACTGTGTACCTGGGCCGACGGACACAGGAAGGAGTAAATACAAACGAACAGTCCAGGAGTGTCTCTGAAATAATAACGCATCCAGGCTACATTAGCAGTACTAATGACAATGACGTTGCTCTTCTGCATCTGTCTTCACCGGTGACATTTACTGACTATATCAGACCAGTCTGTCTGGCTTCATCAAACAGTACATTCTTCAGCCGCACTGTGAGCTGGGTCACCGGATGGGGAAACATTAGGACAGGCGGTAAGTTTTTTAGTTTTACTAACCTTGATCATACACAACATACTGTATTATTGCAGTGTGATCCATATTTGATCATTTAATGTCTTTCGCAGTTCCCCTGCCCTCACCGCAAACTCTACAGGAAGTGCAAGTGCCTGTTGTTGGAAACAGGCAGTGCAAGTGTCTTAATAAAAACTTTGCATCAATCACAGACAACATGATATGTGCCGGACTACTAGAAGGATTGAAAGACTCCTGTCAGGTAACAACTCCTGTACATCCATTTTGGTTATTTCATACTTTTAATGGGTTGAAATTTTTCTTCAGTGTGAAATAGTAAATCATATAAAATGGGTGTCTGTAAATAATGTAAAAAAAAAACTTAAAAATTAAATGAAAGTTAAACTTAGAATTCAACCTAGTGAGTAATTTTCAAAACACTATCTGGTTCCTTGCAAAACTCAAGTATTTGAGATCTTGCCTGCACAGTCAATAACTCAGTATATTATATAGTATACATTAGTGCAAAATATTTTTAAGGGTCTGTTTTATGTATTATTTGTCCTAGTTTGTAACATTTTCCTGAAATTTGTTCTGTAGTGAAGGAAAAGTGAGACCAAGGGTTTTATAACCTTTTAAAGAGAAGGTAAACTTTTAAACTTTTTAGACAAAAATTTTTGTTATAACTTTTTAAAGACAAGAGGATCCTTGCATTCAATTGCAATTAAATAATTGGTGAAATTAACTCATAACTGAAAAATGACCTTATCACCATTCTGGCATCTGAACAATAAAGAAGGTTACAGATGGACAGGTTATGACGATTCCTCATTCCTAAAATATAAATACAACCATATATTTTCATAAAATACCCATTTATATGTGTAAAAAAAAAAAAAAAGTGTGATTTTTGTTGTTGGCAAAATAATGGGCTTTTATATTTCCAGTTTACTAAAGCCAAAGGAAAATAATAAAAATACTATCTGGAAAATGTATTAATTTATTTTTACATACATTTTTTACTTTACGGTTATTCACTGTAAATTAAACGGTATTTTTCACTTCCAAAAACGGTATACTACCGTAAAATTAATGTCCAGTACATGTAATGTCATATACAGTTTTTCACCGTATATAGTAGGGGAATTTACCGTTAACCATTTAACAGGTTTTTACTGTAGCATTTTTACAGTCTTTTACCGTCAAATTCACGGTCATTTTTTACAGTGCTAGTTTCCACAAGAGCACTAAAAAAAGACTATTCCTAACAGGAATGTTGATGCTTTAAACAAACAATTACAAGAATGTAATATTCCCATTAATCCTTCATATTATATATTAACGTGGCATGTCACTAACCCGTTCTTCATCCTACAGGGTGACTCTGGTGGTCCTATGGTCAGCAAGCAGGGCTCGCTCTGGGTCCAGTCTGGAGTTGTGAGCTTCGGCAAAGATTGTGCTTTACCTGACTTTCCTGGTGTGTATGCCCGAGTGTCTAAGTACCAGAGCTGGATCAATGAGAAGATCACCTCCAACCAACCAGGCTTTGTTGCATTCACCTCCAATGGCACTGACGGTGACCTGGCAATTAACTGTGATATTGTGCCTGCCATTACCACAACCACTGTCGCCACTACAACAACTACAACCGTCGCACGTAAGATTCCACCAAGTCAAATAAGATTGCCAATAAACCATGCATACACATCATTGTCCATTTAGCTACATGTCCTAGGACTTAAATGTGTACTTGATTTAAAAAGTACTGTAAATGGCGCTTTTACTTTGGTAAACACATATTTATAAATTCGTGTAATTTTCAATCAAGGTGAAAGAAGCGAAGCACTCCAGACAAAATGCGACCAAGAATTGGCAACAGTTAGAGCCTGCCACAACACAACAATGGACACAAATGAATGAATCTTATGATCTGTTTCTTTTTACAGAGTCAGACAAAGTAATTCATGAAAAAAACCATCAGACATGTGACTTGAATCAGACTCACTCAATCACTCAGTAAATCTTTAAAAGCCCTTAATCGACTTCCTCTCTGAATCATGAGGCATTTTACTTGAGCTATTCATTTATCAACTAAAAAAGTAATTTGGCTTCTAAACGTTTTATTTTAGGGCCGTGTCAAGTCTGACGTCACACATCACTGTTTCCGGGTCCAAACACACTATCAGTTCCCTTAAGCTAACAACAAGCAGTGCTAATATACACTCACTGTGTGCTGTAGTACTACTGAATGTAGTAGAAACCATTTTCACTCCGAAATTGCTAGTAAATTTTGCAATTAATCACAAATAAACAGAAAAGTAACACTGAAAATGTGAAAAGACTGTAGCATACACCATGAGTTTTTAAAAGCGTATCTTTAAGCTGATGAATAGTGCTCATAAACAGCTGTATAAATTGTATTCTCACTTCAGTTGGAGTGGAGGCTTGGACCTGAAAAGAGTATTCAATAGCCCTAGTCATTTTCGTAATCTGAAGCCCTATTTGTTCTCAAGCTCATTATCTGTCAACTAATCAATAATGAGTTTCAGTAAAAGCAGAAACAGAACTTGAAAGTCCTGCCTATTCGAACAATGGCCAGAAAGCCTGTTCTGTGATATGCCTCCCAATGCATTACGCTGCTTTCTGTGCTAATGGACTAACTGTGTAGCCTAAGCATAACAAATGCACTCATTTTTATTTATTCATTCATTTATTTATTGTTGCTTTTTAAGACTAAGTTGCTCTTTAAGCTGCAAGCTGTATTTAGCTATCAACTGTAACGGAGAAAAAAAAAACTGTAAAAATGAAATTGTACACAAGACAGATTATTGAAGTACATTTTACAAGAAAATACTGTTTCAGTCTTTGTACTTTAAAATTTGACATTTAATTCAGTGCTATTTGCTGCTAATTACAATCATTTGTTTCAATGTATGAAAGAAAACGAAATATTTCACTTAATACATTTTTAAATATTTCACTTATAAAATTCACCCTTTCTCTTTGTTACTGTAGCTGTAGTGTGTGGAAGCGCCAGACTGAACACCCGCGTTGGAGGAAACAGCTCCCTCGCCTCTTCCGGTGTTTGGCCATGGATGGCCAGCCTGCAGTTTAACGGCAGTCACGTTTGTGGAGGAGCGCTGATTGCTGAACGCTTTGTCATGAGCTCTGCCAGCTGCTTTACCAGGTAATGCCACTAAAACACCATAAACAAAAACATGTGATGAGAAATCCAAATGATTTGATTCACCAGAGTTCTTTTTTGTTCAGATCCAGCAATGCCTCTGACTGGACCGTGATCCTGGGCCGTCTGAATCAGAACGGCTCCAACCCTAATGAGGTCTCTATAAAAGTGGCCAATCTCACAATCAGCAACGGTACAGGTGACAACGTTGCAGTCTTGCAGCTGGCCGTCGCACCAAACCTCACAAATTTCATTCAGCCTATATGTGTGGACATGGGAGACAATACCTTCAGCGCTAACACTCAGTGCTGGGCGGCAGGATGGGGCTCGGGAGCAGGAGGAGGTGTGAACGCTTTAAGACACTATGCTAAATAAGTCTGTTGGAATTGTCATCATTTTTTTCACATTTCCACTTAATTTGAATTTGTTTCCTTCCTTTTATAGTGATTCAAACTCTTCAGGAGTTCCAGACCGCTGTTGTGAGTTGTGGGAACTCATCCTCAAACAACAGTATTTGTACGAGTTCCTTGAACTTACAGGAGGCAAGTTCATTCTGTTTAAAAACAAACCAACATTTTGCATTATTTTTGTAAAAAAAAAAAAAAAGTACTTACAGATAATAAAAGGAATGGTTGAATACCAGTAAACTGAGGCTTCTGGGAAGGAATTGTATTTACAGTTTACAATAAGGTTTAATTCATTATTATTAGTAAATGCATTAGGTAACACGAACTAAAATGAACAATACTTTTACAGCATTTATCAAGCTAGGTTAATGTTCATTTCTATATATACCACTAGTACATTTCAGGTTGTATAAATGAACATTATGTAGTTGATACATTATGAACAACTATGAATTAACAATGATAATGAGTTTATTTATTGATAACATTAATAAACGCTAAAATTGTTCATGATACCTACTCAATTAACAAATTTCAATGAATGGAAGCTTATTGTGAAGTGTTTTCAAATAATGTATACAACCATTTAAACTTTTGGAGATTTTTATGAATTTTTTCCCCTGTTTTTTTATCAAAATACAGCAAAACAGTCAAATTGGGGAATATTTTCAACATTTAACAGTAACACTTTACTTAAAGCCTTTATATATAATGCATTATAAAAGTACATTAATTATGCCTTGTAATGCACATTACAATGCATTGTACAATCTCATGAATAATTGTAGCCACAGTTAATAGATTATAACACTTATCAATTCAGTGTTACACTATGCATTTTAATTTTGGTTGTAGTTATTTACAACAAGATATAATGTACAACGTACATTATGAATAAGTATAATGCATTACACCCTTTAATAACCCTTTATAATGCATTATACATAAAGGCTTTAAGTAAACCTTTAAACAGCAGTGTACGTTCTTGTCAAATTATAAGAACACTGATATTTTCCATATACCAAAAACTCTTTTCATTAAAATGATGTTTATCTGGTATGGTGTGGAAGATATAACGTATTACAACGCACATTATGAATAATTATAATGCATTACACCCTTTAATAACCCTTTATAATGCATTATACATAAAGGCTTTAAGTAAACCTTTAAACAGCAGTGTACGTTCTTGTCCAATTATAAGAACACTGATATTTTCCATATACCAAAAACTCTTTTCATTAAAATGATGTTTATCTGGTATGGTGTGATATTTGTCTGCAAAGACTTAAAGTGGCAAATATCACGATTTTGTACCATTCAGTAAAGACTTCTCTCTTTCTCTCTCAGGGTGATCAGGGTGGTCCGCTGATGTGTAAGCTGGGTCAGTCGTGGATCCATGCTGCTGTTTTGACCATACAGAATAGCAGCATACAGACTAGCATTTCAAACACAAGCTCCAGCAACAGCACCGCATCCCGCTCTGCTCACGCTCAAGATGTCCAGGTCTTCACTAAAACCTCCAGCTTTGCCTCATTCCTGACATCTGTTGTGGGTTCCTTCCCTGCAAAAGCCACAAACTCCACAAGTTCAACTACAAGCGCAGCAAACAACTCAACCCTGGGTGCCCCTAGTGGGTCACAAACATCTTCTTCCATCTGTTTGATCGTTTCAGTCCTCTTGCCTGCACTTACGGCTCTTAAAATCTTTCATCAAGGCTGAGTTTTTGAGTAGGTTTATTAATTATGAATGTGTATGTAAGTATTCAGACACATAATAGATGTCTTCAATGTGCTTCCTATGACCGATTACATAATCATACAACATAAAAAGCTTTTGTGGGGCACATACTTCATTTTTACTACACAAATGTGAACATTATATCTCTATTGTTATCTCAGACCATGAAGCTGCTGCCTGTTGTTCTTACACTGTACAATTACACTGTATGACTTTACAGTGGTAGTAACAAGTGCATAGCTAATGTTTGTAACCAGGTGGTTTACGTATATTTACACTGTAGCAGATGCAGCATGTAGTTGTTATTCAGCTTGGCACTTTATGGAAATGTCCCATTTGAGTGGTTCAGTTCTAATACTTACTGTACCGTAGCTTAACTAACAAGTACCTCAAGCTGTACCACATTTAGGACATTACTGTAAGTTAGATATATTAAAGAATAGAATATATCCATTTTATTATTATTTAGAAAATGATTTTTGCCACAATGTTTGGAAGAGTGTTTCATAATGTGAAACTATTTTCAGATTTTTTTTTTTACATGTCTGTTTATCTTTTATCTCTTTTCTGTTTTTAATGAGAAGTTGATATCATATGATTTCTTATGAATGAAGTAACTCTTTTCAACACTGTTTTTACACTGTGAAAAGTAAGTGTATATTTTGTTGTAAAAAATGATGATTAAAAGTACAAATTGAGTTGAAATAAAAACCAATTTGGTGTTTTTTTTTCTCAATTGGTTTGAGCAAGACCCCAAGAAGGCATGTGGTAAGAATGTGGCTTGGATTCTGCATAATCACTGCTGTAAACACCAGCATGTGCTGTCCACCAGATTATATCTCCTCATGAGATGAAAAAAAAAAGTTTCTTGAAACATCTCACGAAACAACCTTCCTTGAAGATCCCAAATGTCACTTTATTTCTTTAACTGTTTTTAAACGTTATACTTTCAGACTATTTCATTATAATAGTTTTCACATACTCATTAAAAATAATAACAAATGGCTGAATAAAATATTATTTCTCATTTTATATTATAAATAATCATAATGGGTAATGGCTATG